TTCACTTACTCCGTTGTTAGCGGGCACAGCTAGATTTCAACCAACCTGTCACTGAAAAATTGTCGTTTAACATGGAAGAAGTTATGTTTTAAAAACAGAGACAGTTCAGAATTGCCTTAAAAATTATATATTTTATTATTTTTGAGACAAAATTAAATTAAATTTAATCTATAGCGTACATAAGGATAAATATATAAATTAAAGATTTTCTTGTATTATTTTTAAGGAGTTGATTTCTTAATTATTTTTTTACAGGTTTTTGCAGTCACTTTTGAAGTGTTATCAAAAGTAATAACTGTTTCAAGTTAAGATTGGCAAATAACTTTTGTGAATATTTGTAGGGGTTATTCGGCAACAAGAGCAGTAAAGCTTCAATGAAAGCCGCCAGTGAGGAGTCATCGAAATATTAGATGATGCATAACTGTGCTTTAATGGTGAATTTCCATTGAACTTGAGGTGAGCAGTGCTATTGTATTTGCTATATACGAGTATGCATGTATATATGTACAATGTACTTATATGCATGAGCATCGTACTATATGTATGTACATATGCTTTGATATGCGAGGTTAGTTATAGGCACGCCGCTTCACAAGTGATCTAATGAGCAGATTGCGATGATGTGTGTTTAAAGGACGTTTGAAAAAACAAGTTACTGGCTAACAACAACAGAATCAGCATCGTCATCATCATCGCATAGTTTGGCAACAATCGGGTTGGAGCTATGGTTTGTGGAAGGCTGAATTCGTTCGTGACAATTCAAAATTTCTCGAAAAATTTATTGAAGAATTTGACAAACATCGAAATTTCACTGCACGTCAAACTCTATATTTTTTAAACTCAACAACAAATTTTCAGGTTAATAAGAATAATATAAAGGTAAATACGGATGTCAAAAAACACTCACAAAAACAGAGCACAAATAGTAGTAATAAAACTTAATAGTGGTAAATAAGTTTTTAATTCTGTATTGTTGGTACATAATCGTACTATATGAGTGTTGTAAGTATTATTATATACTAGAAAGATTATGGGAATTGTGAATTGTATGAAGCTGGAAAAAATTGGTTTCGTGAGTGTGTGCGCACAGCTCTTGTTACCAGTGCCAAATCAAATTCAAACTTGCGCGTGGCTGCGCACTTGCGTAGGTGTAGGCTAAAGTGTGGGTGCCTCAAGACCCCAATTTTAGGTCGCTACGCGTGCAAAATGTCAACAGAAGGACAAATTTGTGCTACCTGTCTCGATCTGGCACCAGCATCATCAGCAGACAATGGGTCGAAAATCGGCAAAAATTAATTCGTAATAACGCGCCGATCATAAGCAGATCGTAGCGCCTGCTTGACCTTGCCCAATGCACAGACAGTTCAAAGCAAATAAACGCTATATAAAAGCAAATAGATGCGTGAACAATACAAACAGGCAACAATGCAGCGTAAGTGGCTTTTAGACTCAATTGAAGTTTGAGTTACAATTTGGTTTCTAAGTGCCAGGGGGCAGGTGTGTGCACATACATACATACACACATACATACATATGTACGAGTATGTGTTTGAGCGCGCGCGTCTGTTTGCCGCTTTCGGCAAATCCAATTGTTGCGCATGAATTGTTTAAGATTTATTTGATATATACATACATATATACTTGTATATGTATATACGTTTTTTGCACGCTACCTGACCTACCTCAATAATCTCACCACTTCCTACTTTAATTTGCGCATTGTGCGAGGCACTTCGCAAACATACCTAAAAACCCATTTATTTGAAAGCTTGGGCATGAAAAAGATTAATCTACAAATATGTACTTTTGATTGACACGCCTTTTGGAGGCTGTGTTTTGGCAAAAAAAAAAATAAATAGAAATCTACACAAAAAATTTATAATTTTCTATCAAATAAATCATTGTTTGTTATTATGGCCAGATTGTGTGTTACTGTGTCTTTTATCCCATGGCCATTGCGGCATTGCGATTTGAAGTTTCCATTATCGTTATTGCTCGGTGACGAGCTTTAATAAATAATTTAGTACTTGTTCCACTATTCCAATCTAACGCATGCCGTCAATTGGCCATTAAGACTTTACTTAACTTGACCTTATGGATCGCTTTGTGACCACAAATTGCAAGCCCTTGTTAACAACAGTTTCGGATAGTGCTTCAAAGCTGTGTTCTAAATGTAGTCTGTAAGAACTCCTCTTGCTGGAGCAAAGACTATATCTTCGGAAAAAATTGACCATAATATCGGGCCATTACATCAAGTTTGTAATTGGATTGCAAATGTTTGTTATATTGCTCGAGAGGGTGGCACAGCTTGTATAATTTTATCAGCAACCACACCCGGCAACAACAAAGGGTGGCTATGAACTGACGCAATACAAAGACGACAATGCAACACAAAATTTCATAAAGTGGTCCGAGTGGAAAGCGCATATCATATTCTGACACGCGCCCGAGCCACTAAAAGGATTATAACATTTACATATTTCACATTTTTAGCATGGCATAATTATTTGTGAAAAAACAAACAGTTCGCAAACTACGAGCAAGACAAAATAAATGACGTCTCAATGCCTCACATTGCACTGCACTTGAACTTGCAGTTGCATTTGGCTTGCAAATTGCCGGACTCAGACAATGATGAGCCACTGAATATAAGCACAAAATATATACAGCTTTGATCAAATAAAGAGCACCAACAAAATCAGAAACAAAATTTTAATTTTGCGTTTCAAGCAGTCAAATAAAAAACATTTAATGGTTCAATTTTTCGAGTAACCCATTAATAATCCATTAGTAACCCTCAGTCATAAAACATAAATTAACATTAAAAAAGGGTAATTAAAAAAATGCAATGCATACATATTATAATATATGGTCACATAAATTATAAACAATAGGATTAAGGATTATATAGAATGAAGATATAGGTTTTGAACAGACCGGATTAAAACAGGAATTTTTTTATATCAATTTGTGCTACTATATTGTGTGCCCTGTATACATATACATACTATATAGGCAGCTGCCTTGCCAATGGAAAATGAAGCATAGTTTTACAAAAATTGGGCATTTTCCAAATTGAAACTTCAAATAATCATGAAATGAGATTTCTTTGAACTTACATTATTATCAATTAATTTGATTTTTAATTGCCTAAATGTAGCTCTCTCTTTCAAATTTACTGCATTTCGAGTTTTGTATTATTTTAATAATAACAAAAGATGATTAAAATTGAACAAGAATAGTTTAAAATGTTTTATTATAGCTTTAAAAAAATAAATAAGGTATGTTATGCTATATATATTGTTATATATGTTATATATATTATATATGTATATTAAAAATTGCAAAGTTACCAGGATTTTTTCAACAGAGTTAAAAAACTCTCGTTATTTTCTTAGAATCTTTTCATTAAATTTGTCATAATAACTTCAATAATAAAGAAAAATAAATTGATTTCTCTTTTAATTATACTTTAATACAAATTTAAAATTCTCAATGCCACTAGTAATGAAACTGTTTCCCCAACGCTAAAAATATATAGTTATGTATATTTTCCTGTCTATATTTGTTTGATCAGCATGAGAAGACAAGCCGGTCTGCTGTATCCAAGGTAAATCTCTTTATTTATTTATTATTAAAAAGATCAATTGTTTAGCATTAAAAATATATAATTCATTTGTTCATTAACTTTTTCACAAATTCAGTTAAAGTTTAGTAGAATAAATATTTTCCGTTCTTACTATTTTAGTTTAGTGAATATCCGTCTAATTAATAGATCAGCAAAGAGAATAAAGAGGGAAAATGTTTGGCTATCCTTAGCTGATCCTTCAGTAGAGAGGGTATATAGATAATTTAATTTATATGTAATATGGGAAATAATTGTTATATTACATGCGTTACAGAGTTAAACATGTGATTTGGTGCCAGTTCCATAGACGGAACCAGACATATTTTGTATTTGTTGCATTCTAACCCTCAACAAATTGTCATTTGTTGCATTTCCTACTTCCCCATAGATAAATTTAACACGCTGGACTTGCATGCTGCATTTTAATTTGTTTGACAGCAAATTGGACTCGGCGAGGTCGCGTTGCAAAATAAAAGCAATTTGAAAAATACATAAAACACTTTCCCGAATTTCGCACGAGAGCAAATGCTGAGGCAAAAGCCTCGGCGTACGGTGCGTATGAGCGATATGGCAATAGTCAAAGCAATACGATCGGCAGCAAGCACGACTCTCAATGCGAACGAGCAGCAACGAGTAAACAAATAATTTAATGCACATACTATATAGTACACACTCGAATCGGAAGCGCCTCGCAAAATGCATGTGAGTATAAGTGAGTGTATGTGTATTTTGTATTTTGCCAGAACAATTTATAAAAAATAAAATTAAAAAAAAATAAACAAAACAGACTGAAAAATGCATTGAATAATGGCTGTTGTTGTTGCTGCTGCGATGTTGACGACGCAACAAGTTTTCGTGTGCTGCCAATAAGTTGTTGTTGCCATTGTCGCCGTATCGTGCGTACTTGGACAGCAACAGCGGCTTGTTGCGCGCACACAACAACAACAGCAACAGCAACAACAATAACACGAAACCGCTCAATAACGTGAACGTTGGCAGCGCCGTCAGCCGCGCAGTCGCCGGCCGCGTTGTAAATACGAAATTAAACGAAAGCAGAGGGTATTTAACCGACCTCAAATCAATTTGCAATTTCAGTCTATCTCCGCGTTGCAGCGTTGCATGAACTCGCGTTCGCTAAACACATATACACGTATATAAATATAAATTTACCATCAGTTATAATAAAAAACCTTACAGTTTTTGCTAAACGGAAATAAATAAAGTGAAGCATACGGGCGACAACTGAACAAACTCAACGGAAAGTGCAAAAAACTAACTAAATCAAAAAATACCCCAACAAGTAGAAGTGAACACTAGCATACATAATTAATTGTTAAATAAAATTTATAACAACAGCAACAACAACAAGTTGTTACCTTTGCGATTATCTAATAGTGTCAAAGAGGCGCTCAAGTGCGGCCTAGAAACTCAATACGGAGGTGTACCCCAAGCCATACAAATATATGTATAAAAAAAAGATAGCCATAAACGGCCAAAATTCCAGACACGTAGCAGACAGCAGCAGCTGCAAAAACAACAACCACGGCAAGAGAGTAAATTACGCAAAAGCAGAAACAACAACAAAAACAGCTGACGACAACGTTCAATGAACGTTGAAGCCGCCACATTGAAAACATTTACGCTCACAAACAGCCAACCAAATGCATAAGAGGAGAAGCACAGCGTCCTACACTGACTGCCAAATGTAAGTGGACGACAGCAGCAGCTGAACTTGAAAGTGAAAGTAAAATTGTAAAAAAGGTAGGCCGCCAACTAGAGACACACATTCAGTTATCAGTTGAGCAACAGAGCGTGCCGATCCACAAAACAGACGAGATTGGAGGAGGCCAGAAGAGATCAAAAAGGAAAGGGAATTGCTTTTGGTGGAGTGCTGAAACGCAGACAAACATTTATAAAGGTCAGCCACCAAGAAGCGTGCAGATGAAGTTCTAAGAAATACAATTAATAAGCCGTCCACTCAATTAGTCAAATTCACACAAAATATTAAGCAACAAATACAAGAAGAACAACAAGAAGACACAATGAGCGATCAAGTAGACAACCACAAGATGAGTGGCGATTTAAAGCCAGAGGTTGCTACAACTACCTATGAGGTAAAAGCTCCCAATGCTGGTGAGGAGGGTCACACCTTCTTGGTGCGAAAATTTGAATCGTCGTCTATTTTAACGGCTGTGCCTGTTATGAAAGCCGCGCCCACAAAACCGCCCATAGTGCTGGATGATGAGCAACCATGCTGCAGCTCCGCCAGCTCTCAGGCAGTGGTGCCGCTCTCATCATCACTTCCCTCAAAACTTTTGCGTTTGCATGCCAAGCGTTCGGCTCAGGCGCTGTTGCGTCAAATCGATTCGATGGACTCTCAGTTTGGCAGCGATGAGGGCTTGCCTACGGGCATGGGGACAGGTTCGGGTTCCGGCACTGGTTCGGCTGATGAGTACGAAGATGCTTCGCCTAGTGCGCCACCCATGTCGCCATCATCAAGTGCTTCTCCACTTGCATCCAGCAGTGATGACAAGCTCGTCGATGTGGGTATGGGCTCTTCCATTGGTGACTCCGAGGAGTCCGAAGAGGATGACGAACTCAAGCCTTTGGCTGTGGATAATCACATTATGCATGAGATCGACTTGGGCGAACGGCAGCTGACGCCTCCACAGCAGCAGCCCGCGACCGTGCTGAGTGAAGCCAATTTGGAGAAATTTCGCAAACATCATGGCCAACAACAGCAGGCACTGCATCCGCCCATGGATAACATCTATTTGCATCCCAACTTCAAGTATGAGCTGCAGGAGGGCGCACATGATTATCTGGATGCCTCGCCTCCGCCGGCTGTGGCGCCAAATAACTCGCCAGTTGCCGAACCTAAGCGGGTACACCGCTCCTTTCTAACGTTGAAGAAGCCCACCGAACCGGAACCAGCGGCCAGTGAAGAGTCGATAACGCGTAGAGAATCCGAGAGCCTCATCAATGAGATTGACACGCTAGATCCGTCGTTGGTGCCGAGTGAGGAGCTGGCTTCTGAAATTACAGAAGCTGTCGAGTTTTATTTCTCCAACGAGAGCATTTTGAAGGACGCATTCCTGCTGAAGCACGTGCGTCGCAACAAGGAAGGCTTCGTAAGCCTAAAACTAGTATCCAGCTTTAAGCGCGTGCGCCAATTGACAAAGGAGTGGAAGGTCGTTGGCGATGCTGTGCGACGTAAGTCGCGCAAAATCGAGCTTAATGATGTAGGCACGAAGGTGCGTCGTCTGGAGCCATTGCCAAACTTCGATGAGACCATGCCCTCCCGCACAATAGTGGCCTGTGATCTGCCATTGGATAAGCTCACAATTGAAAAGGTTTCAGATTTGTTTTCGAAATGCGGTGAAATTGCACTTATTCGCATTCTTAAGCCTGGAATGGCCATTCCGGTGGATGTGCGGCAGTTCATGAACAAATATCCAGAGATGCAGCAGAAGGAGTGCGCCCTCGTCGAGTATTTGGAATCATCGTCGGCTCGAGATGCAAAGAATCTGCAAGGTCCATTCCAAGTATTCGAAATGGTGGCCCCCAAGAAGAAGACCGGCAAGAAAGCGGTAATTCAGGTAGCGGCACCTGTCGCTCGCATGGTTGAGAACTATCGCTACTACAACGACTCCAGCTACGAGCGTACACGTGGCGGAAGCTTCAGCGGCATGATGACCCACGATGCGTCCGATTTGCGTTTCAAACTGAAGCGCAACAATTCGGACTTCCATGGAAAATCAATTGGTGCAGACTCAATGCACTATCAGCATCCAACCTCGCACTATCATCACCAATCTGCACACAGTCCCTCTCATCGTGGCGGCTTCTCCGACCACGCCTACCAGCACTCGTACCAGCCACGAGGTAGCGTCAGTCATGAGGCAGCGGCCTCGTCGCCTTCTAGCAGTATGAATTTTTTCGCATATTCGCCAAGGCGATACAGCAATACGTCGACTATATCGGCGAACACGGCTGCTGCCTTGGCCGAGTCCTCGTCGGTAGGCGCGAACAACAATAATGTCGGGAGTCCCAACAACAACAGCATTAGCAGTCTTCAACGTCGCCTGTCGAACTGCTCCGAGCAGAATTATAGCGGCGAGCTATCCATGTCTCGTCGCCCGTCCAATTGCTCGGAAATTGCGGCGCCACAGCGTCGCGACTCCAACTGTTCCGAGAGCTGTCCGTGCTCCAGGCGGGTGTCCGATTTTGGTCAATCGGAAAGTTATCGCAAGACCTCCGTCTGCTCCAATGGCAGTTGCAACGGCGGCAGCAACGGCGAACGTCGCTTCTCCAACGGCTCCATGCAGTTTGAGCGCACCTTCTCCAATGCCAGCGACGGCAATGGCTTCTATCGCCGACCCTCCAACGACTTTGTTATGGAACGCAAGCCATCGGTGGACCCCTCGCAGACTAACGTTGGCAGCTATGAGCAGGATCAGTTGGTGGGCGGTGGCGGTGGTGGCTACCATGTGTGGCCACGTCGCTATTCCAACAATTTCCAGCAGGTAAGCAACAAGCTGGCTGCCTACGACAATGCCCAGTATATCAATGGTCGGCGTATCTCCACGGACTCGGGCTACGATAGACGCTGCTCCTTTGGCTCGGAGTACGAGGGCTCTCCACGCTCTCGCACAGGAAGCTTCCTAAACAACTACAAGCATGGCGGTGGTGACTTTGAAGGTCAGCCTCGTTCCCGAACTGGCAGCTTCTTGGATGGCTCACCACGCTCCCGTTCCGGTTCCTTTGCCCAACGTGCCGCTGAGAGTTTGGTGCGCACACCCATTGGTCCTGATGGCAGCAAAGGCTTTGGCACGCGTGCCCGTAAGTTTGGCCAGACAGTATCGCCAGTCAATTAAAATTAAGTGATGGTCGGAACATAATTGTTACCTAATTTTATCTAGGAATAGATCTCAGGATCTATTAATTGTTTTGTTTCTTAAATCGATTGTTAAAAATAATGGCTGTACGCTGTGATTTCTTCCACCTTGTTATATGTTCAATATATCTACCCACAGCTATATCGTTGATCCATGCATTCAGGCCTCTTAAAAAGAAAATGAATTTGTACTTGTAGTTAATAGTTTTGGATGCCCTTGTAACCGTGTGAGTTTACGAGTTTATGTGTAAAATGTTTCATACAAACGTGTGCTTCATTTAATTTTAATAAGATATGTTTATCTATGTATAGATTTATTCAGATGATACATCTTACAACCAACACTGCCAATTGTTCTGAATAGAAAATTGAACTTCAAAGTTAATATCCATTAATTATCATTTATCGTATTCAGAACTCTTCGTTTTTTAGTTAATCAAAAATAAGAAAAATTAACTTGTTAAAATATTATCTTATTAAAAAGAAGTAAAATATTCTACTTCTGTTGCTGTGTTTTAAGAATTTTTGAAATCAAAAATATTGTAGCTGCCATGAATGCTTAAAAAACGCAATGCATAAATATTCTAAACATTTATAATTTGTTAATAGATAGCCAGCCTTACAGTGATTTAATTATTTAGCATCTCAGGTCTTTTATTTATGTAACAGGAAAAAATTATACATTTTTCACATTTTTATAATGCAATTTATTTTACTTTTCATTTTTTTACTTTTCATTTATATTTTGGTTATTTTGTTTTTTAGATTTCAATTGTACCCAGTTATTATGCATACTATAAATATTAGTAAGTAAGTGAATATTTAATCATATGTATACGTAAGCCTTCATAATTAGGCAACTTGGTTGTCCTCTGTGCATGTGTAAAGATTTTGTGCTCAGAGGAAACAGAAACGGATTTAAACAGGAGAGAATAAAAATATTTTTCATTTTTAGCTTTTAATTTTGCAATATTAACACGTGTTGATATCAATATACTTTGAGTATGTTAAATAATATTAGAGTAAGAAATTATTATTATTTTTAAATTATAAGGTGCCAATAGATGAGCAACAAAGAATGTTGTCTTTCTTAACTAAGCTAAGTTTTCCCTGTTTTTCTTTATAAATGCGCGCATATTTATGTACTTCTGATATAAAATACCTACAGTTACAGAGTTGTTTTACTTTAATCAAAAATGATTACCCATATTTAATTATTATTATTAATATACATTTTGTAAACAACAAAAAAACGGACACACACACACAAAAGTTGTTTTATTTGTTGAACTTGAAGAGTGTTAGGAAAAGCTTTGCAATTATGGAGCGGACGCACGCGCAACTTAACCCATTTGGCCCATATTTTCGCTCACTCACTCACTCAGCAATCTACACGCAGAAATTGCGTAATTTGCGCTAAAAGTTGAAAGCAAGATACTTGTATAAAAAGAAAAAAATATTGAAACGAAATTTAACAAAAACTTCATTGCGTTTGGTTGCGGTAGCCACTCAAAGTCGCACTCGAGAACCGCCCGACGTCGCTGCCATTCAGCCGCACTTGGCTATCGTAACTAGGCCAACAATAGCAACAAGAAAAAACTATGGCTACACCCCCGCTAGCCTCTTCCCCTCGCCATCACCATTGCGGGCAGTCGTATGTGAAAGCAAAATTTGAATTTTATTGATTTGCAAACGCAAAACGTACATTTATAATTTTTTGCGGTGCTCCGCTCTTGGCCAAATTGTCACCGTTTCCAAGTACCAACTGAAGCGTGACGCATTCGGGCAGCAAGACACATAATTGTTCATAAAGCGGCTGTTAGCATTGTTATTGGGTCTTAGTCGATTTTCAAGTATCTTAATCGTTGTCATGTGCGCGAGTTGTTTTTATTTTTTTGCGGTTCCAAGGTATTTCGTTTTAATAAAACATTTTTACTGTCTTTTTTATTATTATTTGTTAATATATTTTTTTAAGCTTTTTGCGCACGCACAACGCCGCCCACTCCACGCCAGACAGAGACTTGCCTAAAACTTGTTTCGTAGCAGACTTATCGACGCATGGCCAACACCAACACCAACACCAGCACTACCAACAGCACGCCCGTGGCCACATTGCCTCGAAACGTGCACTCGCCCAACTAATAGTCGCTCATATTTCATCGTGGGGGCCCCTGAGCTCGGGCTCTGGCTCAGGAATAACCGCAAACTTAGCCAGCCAGACGCAATTTCGTATATTTGATAGTTAACGGGAAACTGTGCGTGCTGCTTGCATAACTTGAAGTTGGTTTAATGATCAAGGAGCAATATGCAATTTGCCACAGACTCTATGAAAGTGCCTATGCCTGTGCCTGTGGGTGCCACTAAGTACACTACAAAGATTTCAGCTTTTGCGTAAGCAATTTCTTTCATACTCGCTGTAGGAAATATTTACACTAAAAACTTTTAATACTCAAATCAAAATATAAAATGCAAAGCGTATTAATCTAGTAGTTATATTTCGAAAGTTTCGAAATTAATTTTTTTGATAATGAAATTATACTAATAAAAGTTTTTAAAAAAGGAATAGGGTGATTAGAAGTGCGATTTGTATTCTCCGTACTCAAAATGGGAAACTGCATACTACTTTAAGATAAAATTGTTATTTTTCTCTATTAAATTATTAGCTAGTAATTAATTAGAGATGGAATCGTTTTTTGCAGGCACCTCGTAGAAAATCTAGCGTCGTTTAGAAACAAGTCAAATTTAAATTAAATTTAAATAATTAATTAAATTTAAACATAAAAAAATATGAACACAAATATATACATATATTGACCTAATGATGCGAATCTTTTTTTTTATCGAAATGATTAAAACCCAACAGTCCATGTAAAGAGTAAATCAGACTATTAAAGCAATACCACATTAAATTAATAAACAGCCGCAAACGCAAACACAACATAACAGCCTACAGGGTTATTTGAAATTATTCTTTGTTGTTAATTGGTCCTTAAAGACTTTATTTCATTTTTATTAAATTATAAGCTTAGACTTTTACGGTGTATGTATATAATATGCGTGTGGGCCAATTTCTGCAGAAAGCTGGACTTGTCGTGGATCGACGCAAAATACGTACATATGTACATATTTATATATATTTGCACCCCTTTGACTGGCACTTCCTGTCACACGCGGCCTTTTGATTTACCCATAAGTGTGGCGTGGAAAAACACAACAATAACATTTGATACTAAATTTATGTTAAGTTGATAAATTTCAATTTGACAACTTGTTCTTAATTGGCAGTAAACGATGAAGCGAAAGAGAAATGAACAGGAACAAAAATGAAAGCAATACAAAAAACAAAAACCAAGCAACCGGTTTCACATTTAACGAACAACTCATTAAACGTACCACAAGTAAAGTTCATTACAAATGTATTGAGCGGGCCCTGGGCGATATTTATAGGCATTGAAAATTATAACAATGTCTGTTGGCAACCGCATAAATTTATTAACAACTGAAGTCGAAGCGAACACACGCTTCTTCAGTTGCCTTTTGCCTGCTGTCTACTGCCTGTTGCTCCCAGATGACATAACCCCCAACACTGGGTGTGCATTGAACTGCGCATGCGTCGCGACGCATCGGTAGCTCGGCACTTACATATGTATGTATATACATACATATGAATGTACAAACATGGTGATCCAAACTCCAAATGTCACGTTTGCTGTACGAGGTGCGAAAGTTATTCAGTAGCCAGTTGCCAGTAGCGAGTCGTCAGCAAATCAACTTATGTATGCCGCTGACCTTAGCATGCACAACACTTTTGGCATCCTATCGCGAAACGTTATCCTTGACGTTGCTAAAAATGTCTCAAAGCAATGTGCATAGACTTGAAAGAGCCCACATACAAGTATATTGTAGATATGTAAGTGGCGATGACGCGAGCATCACCTCAAGAGCGCCTAAATGAAATGAAATTACAATTAAACAAACAAAAATACATGTTTAGCGACGAGTAGAACGTGCAGTGTGGCAAGTGCAACAACGACCTTGACCGTCATTAAATAAACGTATGCCTGAGGCAAATTAGCACCGAGAGGCAATGAGAAATTGGCGAATGCTTGCCACACTTCCGGCAGTCGTCTAAGGTTGCGTCTTTTGTTTTATGCCTCGATTCCTCTATATTTACGCCGAGTCATCTTCAAGTTCGAGTGGCATGCAAAAGTCGAAATATCGATACACAAAAAGGTGCGTAACCTTAGTTCGATTGCGTGTAGATAGATCATAAGCACTCACATATACTTGACTCCGGCTGTTGTAGAAATTTCCGTACAAAAATTAGCATTGCCAGTCATGTTCGTCACTCGCCAATCACCAGTCGTAGGTCGTCATTTTTATTGATGAGATTGAAATGTTTTATTGCACAAAACGCACTCGGCCAGCTGTGCGTATATTTTTATTTCGATTGCACAAACAACTCATGACCTTAGCACGTTAATTCTATGCTGCTGGCAATAAAATAAATAAATAAAATAATTTGCTTAAGCGAAATGTTTAATTCTGTTTCTAAATGTAATTATTAACGATTTGATTTGTTTGCTTTCGATGCTAATGTCTGCTATAATGTCTAATATTATGCATATGAATAAAAACTTTAAAGTTGTTTGTATTTATGGAATTCTTATGATTATCTAAAGGTGCTTTTCATTTTTAAAAAGTTTTTTTCATTATTTACATATATACAATTTATTAAACCAGTATTCTGCTACCAATATGGCAGCTTAAGCTAGTTGAAAATTAATGGGGAATACAACAGTTGTCTATAGTATGCAGCTATAGGACGAACTTATATCTATGTACATTAGATTTAAAGGGATCTCGTGGGGAGATCCTTTGGATGGCACTTATTCAGTCTTCTCTTCCTGTGTCTGGAGAGCAGCCGGCCAGCAGACGGCCATTACTTGGCTTGAAAATGAAATGCGTAGCATACTTTCTGGCGTGAGGTTAAAATACGAAATTCTAGCATAACTTTTGACAGAGTAGAAGCAATGAAAAAAATTAAAAATTCTTAATATAATTGAAGCAAAATAATTAAATAGCTTAACTTCCTAATGTTGCAAACTATTTAAGGTTACAAAAATTAATGTTAATTAATGCAAAGAAGTTGAATTTTACTAAAAGTTATTATTACAATTTCCAGGTCGACTTTATATAAAAATACTATGTAAATAAGTAAATTTTATAAACTTATTACCCAAATTAATTATTTAACAAATTAGTTACTTAATTATCATATTTATATAAATAAAATATTTTAACAAAAAATATTAATGTTTTTAAGCATATTTAAATCTTTA